TGCTAGGCAGAAACAGGCACTGCAGGTCCCCGTCAGTCACGCAGTAATGACGGTGAACAACCGGTACACTGACAACCGTTCTGTGCACATAGGACTATTCTGTTTTTCACGTTCAGTACAGTAGTCAATAAATTACATGAGATACTCAACACCTTATTATAAAGTAGGCTTCATGTTAAATGATTTTGCCTAATTGTAGGCTGTGTTCTGAGCATGTTTAAGGTAGGCTAGGCTAAGCTATGATGTTCGGTAAGTTAAGTTTATTAAGTGGATTTTCAACTTACAGTATTTTTTACTTGTGATGAATTTATGGAATCGTAACCCCATCATAAGTCAAGGAAGATCTGTCGACATTTCTCTTTGTATAAAATTTCAGAAGTGATTAAGTTCTGACTTAAGTTAAGCTTAGCTCTGTGACTTCTTACCACAAGTCTTTGGCAAATTATTTAGTCTCTTTATGTCTCTTTCTTCACTTATAAGTAGAGAGAATGTTATTGTCTAATTCCTAGAGTTATTTTGAGTATGAAACTAAACGAGTTAATCCATATGAGCATGCAGTCCGCGTGGGTGGAAATGGAAGACAGTAAGCATAGCTGAAGCATAGAGAGTAATGGGGAGGGTGACGTGTTAGCAGCCGGGCAGCAGCAGGGCCAGGCCACAGCGCGCTGCGGAGGCCGTGCTCGGAGTCCTGAAGCCTTCCCCTAGAGACACAGAGAAAACACTGAGTCCTTTCAGGCAGGGACATAGTATAATCAGATCTACAGTAGAGGACTGATGTTGAAGCTAAACAAAGCGGTCATGATGAGGACTATTAACTTGTTTTTTTCACTCTGGAACATACCAGGGGATCTGTTTAATCATTTCCCATTTTGAAGTGGAATCTGGATCAGGTTCCGATAAAGAAGCTCAGTTCCATAACTCCTAAAATAGAAAGAAGACTCATCGTGGAGTGTAAGGAAAAGCATAATCAACAGAAAGGATAATAATGTACACAGAGAAAAGACAAGTGAGAGAGCAGGAAGCTAATAGAAAAGATAGTGTTAACTCGAGCCATCATACCTAGAGACATATTCTTTTATAAAAATGATGCCACATAGCACATTATCATCAATGTATAGGGAAAGAAAGAACAAAATTAGAGAATGGAAAAATATACTGCTCGTAAACATATGTGCATACCAAAATAATCAGTAATAGCTTCTTTACTATGTTTTAGCATCCTGAATCCTGTATTTGCGTATCTGGGGATTAAAAATATATAATCAATAAAAGTTTGAAATAAATGTAATTTGTGTTATATTTTAAG